GCGGACACAAAGAGGATTATTTAAATAGGTGCCTCGGTTTTGTTTTTGTTGTTGTTTGTTTTCGTTTGTTTGCTTGTTTTTGTTTTTTTTTTTTTTTCCCCTCTTATCTCTGCAAAAATAAAGTCCCAAGATCTTAGATTTTTTTTTTCTTTATTGTACAATTTATAAAACACTAGCGCGGCTCAGCCCCCCCGCCTCCCCTGCGCACCCCTCGGCACCCCCCTCCCCTCGCCCCAACCCCCCTCCCTGCCTTTGTTTCAGGGTCCCCCCTCCGGAGCCGCCGTCCCTCGGATCGCACCCCCGTTTTGTCAACAGCCCCCCCACACCCCGTCTGCTCCCCCACTTCTCTCTAAAACGCGACGATGGCCCGAGTCCAGGCTCCCAGGCTCGCCAGCGCCTGCTTGCTGCACAGCTGCCCGTTGAGGGGCTGCTCCGAGTCCGCCTGCTGCCGGCTCACCAGCCCCGTGAAACCGGAGCCGAAGATGGAGATCAAGTTGGAGATGTTGGAAGAGTCCTGGGGGTGCTCGGCGCTGTACTCCTCGAAGCGGGCGCGTTTGGTGCACGGGGCGAAGGGGGGGCCGCCCGCCACCCCGCCTCCCCCCGGCTCCCCTTCCTCCACCCCCTCCTCTTCCTCCTCCTGCCCCGGGTAATACTTGCGCTTGGTGCCGGGCGCGGGCGGCGGGGAGGCGAGCCCCGGTGCCGGCTGGCAGCAGCAGGGGCACTGCGAGCAGCAGTCCTGGTGCAAGTACCCGTTCTCCACCGTGGTCACGACGTGAGTGTCCAAATCCAGCACCGTGGTGCGGCTGCTACAGTGCGGGGCCCCGCCGCTCCCGAAGTCACAGCCGGCGGCGTAGAGCAGCCCCGGGGCCGCGCCGCCTCCGCCACCGGGACCGGCGCTGCCGGCGGCCCGGTAGAAGCCCGGGGACGAGTCTCTGCAGGGCGCTCGCTGCATCTCCGGCGGCACCGCGCACACCGGCACCTCCAGCAGCTCCGCGCCGCCCCGCGCAGCCCCGCAGCTCCGCGCCTCGCGGTCCTGCGTGTCGGCGGGCAGCGGGAGCGCCGCCAGCTCCGGCGGGGCGGCGGCGGCGGGCGGCGGGCAGGCGGGCATGGCGAGGAGCGGGGCGCCGTCGGGGTAGTGCTGCTGGCGGCGGTAGAGCTCGGCGTAGCGCTCGCTCAGGTAGAGCTGCCGGGCGTTGCGGAGCACATAGGAGACGAGCAGGTTCTTGTGGAGCTTGATGCCGCCTCGCTGCGTGCGGGAGCTGTGGATCTTCCGCAGGGAAATACTGATCAAACTCTGCGCATCGAGGGTGCACTCCATCCTCCTCCGGCCCCTCAGCATCGGCTCTCGCCGCCCGCGCAGCCAGGCACCCCGGCCCGCATCCACACGGCAGCCGGGCGGGTGCGGAGGGTCGTAAGGAAGGAGGATAAAGAGGCGGGGGGGGAGGGAATAAAGGGGAGGGGGGGAAGGGGAAAAGGGGGCAAAGAGCCTGAGGTCGCTGGAGAAGGGGGGCAAATAGAGAGGGGTGTCTTCAGCGGGCGGCCAGCGGCGGGAGCAGCGCGGGCATCGCCGGGGGCTCCCGCTGCTGCCGCCGCCGCCGCGCTCCGAGCACGGACGGCGCGGGCGGGCAGCGCCACCAGCGCCGCGCGCGCCCCCGCCCCGCCCTCCGCGCGGCCCCGCCCCCCGCCCGCCCCTCCGCGCGCGCCCGCCCGCCCCGCCCACCCGCGCGCGGCACCCACCCCGCCCCCCCCGCGCCCAGCCCGTACCTGTCGCGCAGAGACACTGAACGCCCGCCCGCCCGGCCCCCGCCTTTTATACCGCCGCGCCGGCCCGCGAGCCCCGCCTCCCGGGGCCGGCGCTGCCAATGGAAAGGCGGAGAGCGACTTAACGGGCGGGCAGCGCGGCCAATGGGAGTGAGGCGGGCGCCTCGCGCCGTTCAAATGGTGCCAGGCGCGGCGCGGCCCGTGAGGGCGGCGGGCGCTCGGCCGGGCTGGGCGGGGGGCGCTGAGGGCACCGGGGGCCCCGCCCGAGCGGCGGCGGGGCCGGGGCGCCGCCTCCCCGCGCCGCTCCCCTCGCACAGGTGAGCGGGGGGCGGTGCCCGCCCCGGTGGGCGGCCCCGAGCCGCCGCGGGGGCGGGGGCGCGGCACGCCCCGCCCTGTGACACCCCTGAGGCACCGCGTATCCTCGGCAGGACCCTCGGTGGTACCGGCGCCGCCTGTGACTCCCGTCCCCGCGGATGCTCCGCTCCGCTTTGGGCTGCCCTAGCCGCGGGGGTTGCCGGATACCCCCGCGGCGGGGCCGCCTCTTGCCGTGCCTGCGGAGCGCCCGCCGTCACCCGCGTTCGAGGGGGGTCCCGGCTTTCCCCCGATGTGGGGGCAGGACCGCGCATCAGTCACTCCTCACAAAGTGCCCCAATCACACCTGGTTTTCCCCCAAAGTGAGAGCAAGACCGCGCTCGGGTTAATTATGGGCTAATTAAGGCATTCCGTCCCGCCTCGGGGCACACGGCAGTGTCGGTGGAGCAGGGCAGCGCAGCCCCTGCTCCTCCTCACAGAAGGGTGTGAGGGGAGGGGTCTGGGCCGGTCCCTGTGGGGTTAGGGACCGCAGGGGCTCAGGGGTGGGTTTGGGGGATGCAGAGACTCAGGGGTGTCCCCACGTTTATTCTTTAAAAGCTCCAGTCAGCGAGTGACCCAGTCGCCGCGCCCGGGGAGCTGTAGCACCCACCGAAGCTGGTGACACCACAGAGCAGCAGCCCTTGTCCACCAGGTAAGAGCTGGGGGGCTCAAGGCAGGAGGCTGCAGTGTCTGGGTGGGAGAAGGGGCTCAGACACGGATAGCCAGGAAGGGACTACAGTGCTGGGGTAACGGGAGCCGCTTCTGAAATGGCATCTTCTGTAGAGAGCAGAAGGTAAGGGAGAGAGGAGGGAGGATTTCCACTGACTGCAGAGGTTCTCCAGGCTGGGTGTCTGCTTTGGGGTCACCCTGGCATACAAACCTTGGCAGTGGCTATGAGCAGCCTCGTGTCTGCAAGTGGTGGGGTACCCATTGGAAAGAAAACCTCTGAAGCCCTTGTTCCTGCTGTGCAGCCCAAACTCCAAACCACAGGAGCAGGGACACAAGGTGATCACCGGGGTCATCAGCTCACTGTGCAAAACCCGGGATCCATGGGGAGCTTTGAGGGGGATGCTTGGAGGGCTTTTCCTGTTGCCTGGCCTGGCTGTATTCTGCTGGCTCAGCTTGACACTGTCCTCCACTGAAGGAAATGGGAGCAGACCCAGCACCACAGAGGATTTTGTTCCTGTGGAAGGGTGGTTGGGGCAGCAGCTGAGCTAGGGCAGCTCACTGCTCCCTGAGGAGCAGCTGGCTAAGTCTTGCATGCTCATGGAGCAACCTTCTCCACAATCTGCCTTCAGCCAGGCAAACTGGGGTGAATGATACTCTGTGCTTGCCCAAGCTCTTGTAAGATGTTCTTGTTCCTTGTTCATAACATAAAAAGTGATCACAACCCGTCCAAAGGGTGGCTGTGGCTCAAGGCAGTGGGTACAGGCAGTGTTGGAGGTGGGGGGTTGTTCTGTGTCCATCCTCTCCTCCACCAGGCTCTCTCTTGTAATTCTCCCTGGCTGCAAGTTGGCTTTTCCAGGGCTGTGGCTGCACAGCAGCTGGAGGTTCAGAAGGTGATAACTGGAGCTGGTCTGTGCAGATACTACGGGATACAGCAGGATTGGGTTTGGACACATTGTATAGGTCAGTGCTGAGCTTTGGGTGTTTGGAGGCTTGAGCCAGGTCTTGCTGCTGCTCAGTGAGATCAAAGGCTCTGCCATCATGGGCTGTTGGAGTTGGTGCTTGTAGACTGAGCCACAGCTGCAGCTCTGCAGCATTTTCTCTGTCCTCATGGGTACTGGGGAACCAGGGCAGCAAGCACTGCTGCTGCCAACCTGTGCCATATCCTCCACCCAGCCAGCGCAGGCAGTGATTTCTTCTCCTGCTCAGCTGGCATTTGCTGCTCTCTGGCTCATCTCCAGCTATAAAACTCCAGTTTAGGTGGTCCAGGCTAAGAGTTTGAACTGCCCATTGGCCGACTATGATGGGGTGGCTTGGGCAGTGCAGATGGGGCCAAGCACAAAGCATTGCCCTGGCAGACACCCTCTGCCCCGAGCTCCTGCTCACCTTCCCCCTACGACTTGAGCATGGCCTCAGGACACTGCCCAGTGCTGGCCCTCTGCTTTTTAATCATCGAGTGGCCCAGCTGGCCTCGAGTTGCACATTTCAGCGAAGGGTCAGGTTTTGCAGAGCTCTGCTTGCAGCAGTGCTGGGTTTATGGAGCTGCAGAGGGTTGTGCATCCTCGGGGCTGGTCGGGCACTGCGGGGCAGCCCTGGATGCAGGAGCTGCCGCTGTCTCTGGCTGTCAGAGAAGTGCCCTCTGCTGTAACTGCCTGAGAAGCTTCGTGGCACCAGGAAAACCTGAGAGCTCAGTAGGAGCCTCTAGGAGATGAAGATGGAATTAAAACTTTAATCTTATTTAGACTCTGGGTAATTAATATAAAGGCTGTAAAACGTGGGCCTGATCCTGGTGCTGGCTGCTGGGCACCGTGCTGTGGCAGGCAGGGCAGCAGCAGCTGCAGGCTGGCTCTCCTCCCCAGCTGGCTCTCCTGGCAGGTGCCAATGTTTTGTTTGCAGACACAGTGGCTTTAATCCTGGAGCTGGGACGGGTTGTGCACTGCAAGAGCCATGCTGCTTCAGTTTGGCCTGTGGACTCCAAAATCTCCCAGAGACAGGAATCTGGCTGGTACCTGTCTTGGCACACAATTGCAAGCTCTGCTTTTCTAAAGAGGATAACGAGTCCTGTCCATTTTCTGGCTCTGAAGCAGCAAGGTGGGGCGGGCAGGATGGTTTTGGTGCTTGCCTTTCTCAGGAAAACCTGTGTGTCCTGTCCAGCATCCCTATTCCCTGGTGTTGGGGTTTAGGTGTCCTTTCTATGGGCAGGGCCCCTAAGGACTGCTGCAGTGGACAGTTCATGTAGAACCATCTTGGTTAAATGCAATTCCAGCTTTTACCTAGCCTTTATATGGTCAGGACCATTATTTCCCCAAAGGAGAAGGGAATGGGCCCAGAATTTGCTCTCTGAAGTGCTGAGCTACACATTTTCTGGTGTAGATGATGCTGGTCCTGGGGACTGCCTGAGATGTGGGCGCTGTGGGGCTGCTCCTGGGCTGGGGATGGTGCAGCTGTACCACACCTGGTCCAGCCTTGCTGATGTCCTGGTGCCAGGGCTGGTTTTGCAGCCATCGATCCTGCAGCAGGATCCAGCAGCAAAACCTGGCGGTCCGCTGCTCTCAGCTGCAGAGTAAACAAGCTGGCAAGAGAAACCATTTTGCTTCAGCTAGTAGGAGAAACCCTTTTTAGGTAGCACTTCCAACTGGCAATGCTCTCCTTCATTAACCCCCTCCTTCCCTTTCCAATGAAACGTAAATTTGCAGCGATTGGAGATCAGGCACTTGCCAGTGCAGCTTTGCCACCCAGAGCAACGAACACAGACGTGAATTTACTGCTTGATCTCATAATTTCAGTGCAATTAGACTGGCTGCTATAAAGCAATTTCCCCTTGAGCCTCAGAGTCCTGGGCCTGGGCACTGCCCATCTTTTCTCAGACATGGAAACGGAGGCCTTTGGGTATTGGCTGAAACACGAGTTTTTTTGGGTGCACCTGGAACTTGACTCCCTGGAGATGTGTCTATGAGCTGGAGCTGCAAGTGCCTGGCATGTCTGAAAAGGAGCCTGCTTTTCAGGCTTACTTATTACAAGTCAGGCACCCAAAGCTAGTGGGAAAACAAGCCAGAACAAGGTTTTCAGGCTGAGCTCTAGGAGCAGGGCTGGCTTCTGCCACCTTCTCCTCTGTGCTGGGTAAGCTTAATGTTGCCTGGCTCCCCAGGCTATTCCCCATCTTGAGGGGACTTATAGGGCAGACCCACAGGTTCTGCTGCAGTGTGTGGGGAATGGGGCATGTCAGCTCCCAAAGCCAGCAGCCCTTGGCGAGGCATATCCATCTGTATTGATTGAGCAGGCTGTGGGTAGGGCTGTCACCTCGCTGTTGTAGCTGTTAGCTCTTTCTTTCAGCTTTGGTATCACAGTCAAATACTTTGTATAAAATCCTGGAGAAAAAGGGATTGAAACCATACTTAAAAAGCATCAATTTAATTATCTGTTCTCTATGCTTTTAGGTGGGGAGCTGTATAATGCCTCCCAAGTGTCACCGTGGCACTGGGCATGGATGACATGCTCAGTGTTTTGATTTGGTCTGCTCCTACCTAAATTCACCAACTCATTTCTTTTGTTCCTGGGAACCACTGTGCAGGGTATGGGCGCTTCTGTAAGCTTCCCTGCCATTGCTTCATGGCCTTTTGCTGCTGTGTGACCAAACACCTGTGCCCCATTTGGTGCTTACAAACTCTCCTAGTGCCTACTGGAGTGTTCAGAGGTCCCTTGAATGGAAATTATATAATTCTTCTTTTGACTTATCCTGGAAGAGTGGAATTGAGGAGGTTATTGCTGCCAGGATCCTACTGCTGATCCTCTTCTGAATGGCCTCTACTTATCCTGCTGCAAGGGGAAAAA